TTTTCTGTACATTTCACAAGGTTTTAGTGAGTTATGTTCGAAATTTAAGTAAACTACTTTATTTTCATAGTATACCAATAAATATAGCATGAAAATGTAGCTAATAATCCATATTTTAATAGTACTTAAATTTTAAGTTCTTAATTTAATATAGTAATATTAAAAATAATTTAAAATTCCCCCTATTTATTTACCACCCCTTCAAGAAGTACATAATTTAACATAAATTACTTATAATAACATTGTCTTAGCTCAGGAAAAACATAATTTTCATAGCCTTCAATCTTATTTGGTTACAGAGCCATGAAATAGGCAACCAGACCCTTCTTGTGACACCCATCTGTCATCCTATCTTTCAGAAATTGCCAATAGTTCTCTCTGCTGTTCAATACTATATTATTTATAACCAATAGAAAGCTACGGTTTTTATCTATATTATCAACATATTATGTTGTTTTCTGTCAAGAGAATTATCAATTTTGCTTTCAGTTCAGGCTTGATTCCCATGGGAAAGACATTGATGGGCTGAGAGGAAGTTTTAACAGCTCTTGTTGCATAGTTAGAAAGCCAGAAACATTGTGATAGTTACGGGACATTGTCTCCTTTTTGCACAATACTATTCTGTGTTTTTGGTGCGTTATTTAATTAAATAAAATATTACTTAGTGCAGTATTACAATTAATATAAAAAATAGTAGGGTCAAGTGTCATCGACAGTTGACAATAAAAAAAAATGAAAATCCAGGTTAGTACTTTTTTCTTGTTTTTCATGTGTTTTCTTTATTTATTATTGTAAAAGTAACTAAAGTATAAAAATAGGAAACTTTTTATGTTAGTTAAGGTTAGGTTAGATGAAATAAATAATAGTAATAATATAATTTTTCTTTATGAGGTAATCCTGTGAGCAGCTCACAGTTAGCTTGTGCATAATATTATTTGATAGTGAAACATGAGCTGCATCAAGTGATTAACAATTTATAATGGCACGAATAGTAGTTAGGGTTAAAAAAATCAATAAAATAATGAAATTTAAGTACAAATAAATATATAATGATGTGAGATTAAAGCTATTTACGACTAACAAATGTAGTTTCATATAACAATTTGAAGTCATTCTAGAAAGAAAAAGAGGGTAAGTTAGATTTATTTCGTTTTTTTGGTGGTTACAAGGTCTGTCAAATTGACCAACATTGTATAAAGTTAGGGTAGAGAAAATAACAGATAAAATATAAAATTTTACTGAAAAAACGTTTGAAATTTATTTGGGAGGTTGTAGAGATTATGCAAATAAGATTTGAGATTAAGCAAAGCATTTTTAATCTTAAAGTGAAAATCACTTAGCACTCAGACTAGTGTATAGAACTATCTATATTCATGGACAAATTTTTTAAAAATCTTATTTTTTTTTGTATAAAAGACTTGTATTGTTTACTCAAAGTCTGCCAAAATTTGTGAAAATATACAAAGTGTGTTAAAAGTTATAGTATGTAAACTGTAACGAGTACAAAATAGTTACAGGGTTGGTCAATTCAGTCAACTTCATTGCAAGAGAGTTAATGACATTTCTGTTAACATTTTGAGGTAAGGTTGTCAAATTGGTACTTTTAAGAAAAAGTATAGTAACTAGTAGATACATTTCCCTTTGTGCAGCTGTTTGTCTAATCGTACTATTCATACGTGATTGAAAAAAATTTTGAAAAAGTGAACATTTCTAAAAAAAGATTATTTTTTTTCTGCAAATTACTGCATGAGAAAAGTGTTTGAATTGTGCTCTTTAGTCATACGCAACTCATTGCATTCAAAATTATTCATATGTACAGAGCTCAAAGTTTGCATAAATTTTACTCATATAAACTGTGATGTTTTATATATTATAAGTGGTACTATTTATAATAGTTTTCTAAGAATTCTAGTTTCACAATACTACATTTAAGAATTACATTAATAAAGATATAATCAAACCCTCACGTACAGTCCTAGTGAATGTTGTGTTCTTGTTGTGAGGAGAGTACTTTTATTTAAAATTGTGTTCTATTAAAAAGAAATGGTTGTTGCACATATCACAGTTTGAATTTTTCAAGTGTGAATTTTTTATGCAATTTTGTTTGTGGTGCCATTTAATAGATGACACAGGAGTTTTGGTTATATACATAGATACTGACATACCCTCTAGGTCCATTATAGTAAGATAAGTGAAAATAAATATTGTAAGTAGAAAAATATTCCACCAAATATCCCTTGGTGGTACAGCTGTAAATTTACGGACTTACAACACCAAAATCTGTGGGTCGATTCCCCCAGACAGCATAATGTGCTTTTTCTAAAAAAAGAATTATGTGTGTGTGTATGTGTTTCATTAAAAACAGTAAATGTGAGTGTGCTATGTGTAATAAGAAACTTCATTTAACTTAATTGTTATTTCCCTATAACAATATTTAATTTTGCAAATTAACTATCTTCTGCTTTAAAAATTAATATATTTTACCATTTATAAGAATAATGGACAAATTTTATGAACGTAGGTCTTCATTAAGCCAAAACTTTTCATTCTTTAAGTAGTTTAAGTGAAACTTCAAAGTTTTGGGTTAATTTGTCAATTACTTACATGTATTAATCAGAATTTTTTTTTATTATGGAATAGTAGATATAAGAGTGAAGACTTAGACAAATATTATTCCATTTATTTTTTATAACTTCCTGCTCTTCAACGTCGTAAGTAGGCAAAGCAAAACTTTACTCAAAATTAAACTAGCACGGATGCACTAAACGATAGGTGTTTCAGTGAAATCTCTAGATTTGACAATGGTGCTGCCCCAGAATGGACTTTTTTGTGGTTTATTTACAGATATTACATTCAACATAACTATATAACTTTTTATATAACTATAAAAAGAATAATAAAACAAATGTGTAGTAAAAAAAATAGTAAACTATAATTCTTAAAATCAGAGACCAAAACAGGTTTTTCCTTTTTTATTACAACTGTGTTCAGTGCACATGTGCTGGGATAATTCACTCAAATAAAACAAAAAAATCTAATACAGGATAAAATATCTAATACTAACTTATCCACTAGCACTGATGCTGGTAATATTTACTTGTCCCAGTAGATGTCTCACTTATCCCATGAAATTTTGATTAAACTGTTAATTGCAAGATTTTATTTGCTGATACGTTTAGTACTTGTTGAAACTGAAAACCATTTCATATTTGTTTGTTGTCTTAATTTATTAGAATTACTTTTGGGTTATTCCAACAAATTTTTGTCCTGAATCATAATTCTCTTAATGTAATTTTGGTATCTAGTACAGTAACTGTCAAAAGTCCTGATGACTCTGGTTGCACTTAAAAAGAAATCCAGCACCAACTGAATATTCCACTGACACTTTTGGCAATGCAGTTGCCAAAATATTTTAAGCATTGTGGCAGGAAAACCTAAGAATGAAATTGGAGAACCAAAAACCTGTGTGACAAAATTCATTCACTTATGATTGAAGGTCATGCTCTATTTGGAGTTGTAGGAATTTGGTTTGCTATTCACAATACATACACATCTCTTTTCTTTATAATATTTTGATTAGACAAATTTTCCTGTTAACAGCTGTAGATTGATGCATAGCTGACTTTTGTTTGTCATCTGTGATGTTTGATGCAAAGAAGGATCATATTTTAATCCCCCATTTTGTTTAAACAGCTACATAAATAAATAATTGGATGTTGAATCAGCAGTGTTTTTAAATTCAACATTTTTCCAAAACAACACTTGTTTGAACTCCTGATCTTTAATCATTGGACTGACAAATTCAAACCAACTTTCCACTTGTGTTTGGATATTTTTTTTTATAAATACACTTGGATAAATGAATTGTTTTTATTTCCTGTCAAAATAAGTCAGTACTTTTAAATATTTACAAAGTTTTCTTTGACTGATGATTTTCAGCTCACACTTTTACCGTTGTTTCATTTATCAGAAAGATACAAATGATTTTCATTTTTCTGAAGTAAAAAATATTTCCTCTGTTTTTTTGGGGGGGGGTGGGGGCTTTTATAAAAGTTTAATAATCTTGATTTTTTTGGTGTGTATCTTAAAGCTCTATAATAAAATTAACCAAACAAAAACCTTTTAAATTAAATAGCCTAGTCCTATTAGGTCAAAAATTACTCCTGTCCATGACCCGGAAAAATACGTGATGGGTTTCTAATACAATGAGCACAAATGATTATTTGGCTAACTGAATTTCAGCACCCAAAGACTAAAGTTCATTCTGTTAATTATGAAACATTAAGCTATGTAATGCAGAAGCATTGAACTTTTTAAAGATATTAACTGCAGTAAAACAAGACCTAATATGTTTTAATTCTTTACTCTTAAGTCTACAATCAGGATTTTTAGTAAAAAGAGTTAATGACGATATTATTTAGTTTTTTGGTTAGTATCTGTTACCAATGGAGAGTGATTAGAATGTTATAATCTTTTTTTTTTAAGAAACCAGTGTTAGTCCAGTTTGGAGTAAAATGTTTAAAAGTTTCAACCAGCTTTATTAGCATACTATTTCATTACATTTATTATATTTTATTCATGTAAAATCAAGTGTCATGTTTTTTGTGTTTTGCAGTGTGGATACTCAACGTTGTGGAATAATTTTCATTTACAATATGATAGGGTCCAAGTATGTGAACTTTGATTATGAACTTTGTCAAAAGATTTTGAGTCTTCTAAAGGTAATTAAAATTATTTTGATTTAGTTTAGAATTGATAAGATATAATTTTTCTACTCAGTGTATTAACTAGATTAGTTTCTACTATTTATGAATTATAGCAAAAACCTGCAGTTATAGCAAAACACCAAATACTTTGAGTCTTCTAAAGGTAATTAAAATTATTTTGATTTAGTTTAGAATTGATAAGATATAATTTTTCTACTCAGTGTATTAACTAGATTAGTTTCTACTATTTATGAATTACAGCAAAAACCTGCACTTATAGCGAAACACCAAATACTCAGTAGAAGTAACTTATTTCAATGTACATTATTTTACTGAACACCAGTTGTTTATGAAATTTTCCCTTTATATAAGCTTTAGGGTTATAAATAATAATAAACATACTAGCCATGACTCGCAAAACATTTGCATTATTTTTCGTGCCCTTCACTTGAAGTTTCCTTATTCTGTCATTTTCATGCACGCCATTTAAGCTACGCTTTCTTGCAGACATTATGTGTTAGATCGGTAAATCTTGGTCTGTTTGAAAAACTTTTAAGAGTCAGATAAACAAACTCGCATAGACATAACTTTATTTAATGAAACTACACGTGAATTAAGCAATAAAGTAATGGTACTTATAATAATGTACAGAGTATGGAACAGTTATGAACATTTGTATGACAGTTTTACGAGTTGAAACAAAGAAACTCGCCAAAATGAAGCATAAAACCTGTACTAAAGAAAAAAAATAGTAGCAGTCTATGAAATTTACTGAAGCTAAATTATTGCAAAGTAAAGTAAATGTAAAGTTGTAATGAGGCAAACTTAGCTACATATGTAAAAGTGTCTGAATGAATATTCACAAAGTGATAAGCATATGGTTTTTAACAAAGTTAATGGGCATTTTAAACCTAAATAAGTCAGGAAAGCCCACAGAAATTGTATTTAGTGTAATGATAATTTTGTTTTTATGAAATTACATGCGGGTTAAGTGCTGTTTGTGTGAAATACTTTGCAAATAAAATAAAACTAAATTTGAAATCTAAGCCAGTCATCATATGATGACAATGACATTGTGCCGTCATGTAACATACTTGTTGCATTGAAAAGTTTGACTAAACAAAAAACAAATGAGGTGATATTGAATTGAAGCACCATTATGCAATCTGGACTCCTTGGGCAAAGGCCTTTCTAACAATATGAGATTTGTAGCTTTTGATGGAAGAATTTGTGAGAAAAGTTCTGGATGGACAACCTGAAGTGTATTACTTATGTAGAATATTGCTATGAATCATAGAGTGTTGGAATTGATAATAGAAGGATATCTTAGGTATGAATAATACAGAGCATCTTGACAGAGTACAGGTGCATGTGTTTGGAAAGTTGATATGTTAACCCTTACTAATTTAAAAGCTATAGCATGAAAACTATAACAAGCACAAAATGGTTACAAGGTTGGTCCTAGGGTTGTAAGAAGTACTTTAATACAGTATATTCTATGGTTTAGTCATGATGAATGTTCTTCCTTGCCATCAACATGTGATAGTACATCTTGGGATTTTATTCATTTTGTTATTATGCATTAAATCATATTTTTCTGTTAAAGCAAGGAATATGTTTAAAATGTTCAGAAGATTTGTTCATGAATGATGTAGCCTATTAAGTATTAAGTATTTTATTTGAATCTGTTTATCAATACGCTTTTGTTTTATAACTAGATAATCTTTTAGATTCTTCAGGCTTGTTTAATTAGTTTTATTTAGATCTAAGATTGAATACTTTCAAGTTTTATATGTTCATGCGTATTCAGTGATTTTAAATTTGTGATACATGTTCTTGTGTATTCAGTAATTTCAAACTTGTGATGCACGTTCTTGTGTATTCAGTAATTTCACACTTGTTTTTACATGTTTTTGTGTATTCAGTAATTTCAAATTTGTGATACATGTTCTTGTGTATTCAGTAGTTTCAAACTTGTAATGCACGTTCTTGTGTATTCAGTAATTTCAAACTTGTGATGCACGTTCTTGTGTATTCAGTAATTTCAAACTTGTGATACACGTTCTTGTGTATTCAGTAATTTCGAACTTGTGATACCTGTTCTTGTGTCTTCAGTATTTTCAAATTCATGATATGTGTTAAGCCAGTTTTGTTTTTATTATGTGGAACTTTTTCATTGATCAGTAATCATAAAAAAAAAGAACAGTTTTTGTAGGATACTGTTAATTTTACCACAGGGGGCATATCCAGCTCGGCTGAAAAAAGTTCTTATTGTGGCAGCTCCAATGTGGTTCAAAGCTCCATTCAAAATCTTAAGACTGTTTGTTCGGGAAAAGCTCAGAGAACGGGTAAGTTGGGAGGAAAACAGGACAAAGACTTATAATCAGTGTTTATTTTGTATATAACATACTTTATACCCAAATTTAATTCTTTAATGTAGAATCAGAAAATTTTTATGGCATTATTAGAAAAGGCAGTTTTATTGATCAAATCAATATTAAAAGTTTTATAAAAAAGCATTTTATTTTATGTTTAGAAAGTAGCAGTTTAAGATGTTTTTGATCTATACTTTGTTATTGATTCATACATAAATAATGATCCTGTCTATTCTAATATAACAGGTATCTATGGTTAACCTACCTCAATTATCTTTGCACATACCACGAGGATCCCTGCCATGGGAACTGGGAGGTATCCTTCGACTGGACCATAATGCATGGCTTCTTCATTGCCTTAAGACTAATTCTAATGGAGATCTTTGTGACATTTCATCTATTCCCACGTCTCCATCGTCCGGTATGATTCTTTACCAGTCCTATGAAGGAATGATGCAGAATGGGAATGGTCCACTTAGTGATGGAGAAATGGAGGATCTTGGAGAACTTACTTCATCTGTCCATGAAAAACATAACTGTGAAGAAAGGGAGAAAGAGGTAGAAGTTGTAAAAGTAAGTAGATATTTAAATTTTTTGCCAATAAAAATGTATTGTTTTAAATCTGATAAGCTGATTGATGTACGGTGGAAAGAATAATCACTAAAATTCAGACATTATCAGCTTTTAACGCGTACGTTCAATGGTATCTCCATCTGCTTTTACATCTATAATAGAATTATTTTGGAATAAGTTTAACTTGATCATCTGGTGGATTTAAACTTTTAACTGTGTAGAGCAAAGTAGCAGAATATCCAAACTCTTCATGGCACACCCTTCAACCTTCCAGAAATCTGGATGACTGGTATATATATAAAATATGATAAATTTTAACCACAGTCTTGTATAATGATTACCAGCAACAGCTGAAGATAGTGTTAAAAACAGCTCTCAATTACTTATGTTTGTGTTGTTGTTTATTCACTAAGTATTTTATGTTTTAACATGTACAAAAATGTAGATTTAAAGTTCTTCATAAGTATGTGTTTGAGCTTATTATGCTTTTATTTGGAACAAGTTGAACACAAATAGAAATAACTATAATGTGGCTGAAATTGATATTATTGCTACTATTTGACATTATTTTACAAATCTGTGTTTTGTTGTTTTTGTATATGCTTTATGTTTTGATAAAGGCTTTAGCAGTTTAGACCAGTGGTACTGAAACTGTGGGAAACCAGATGCATGCATGTTGTTCTTGTTTTTTCTTTATGGTGAAAGATTTGGTGATTCGAAGAAAAAAAGTTAAAAAAAATAACCAAAAGAAAAATGATAAAATATCACAAATAACTTTTTTTTATCTTGCTAGGTGGCATTCTTTAGCAACTGTGACACATCAGGCTTATGCCGCATGGTTTTTTTCAGTGCAGTCTAGCATATCATAAACTATGAAGAGGCACATTTGTGTTTATTTATCTTAATGAGGTTAATTATGACAAAGTTTGAAAACCACTAAATTAAACATTACAACAATGACAATTTACAGTTTCAGTATAAGAGACTGTTATTCAAGCAATATATGATCGTCATTAAATTATGATTTCACATCATAACTATATTTCTCAAACGTACAGAATTTCTCCATTCTAAGAGGTGCCAAAAACCCTAATTTTCCATCCATGTGTAATGACACATAAATACTAACTTGTTAGTTTTATAAATGCTATTAGCCATTACTGAGATATGAGCTTTTAACTGATACATTACCTTGACGAAGGTAACAACTTTTTATATAATCCAAGATTTAGAAACAAAAGTGTATGTGAATAACTTATCTTTCATACAAATGCTTAACTAATTTGTAGACACAATGTCCATTCTTCAGAATAGCTCATGAATAATTGAATTATAGATGTATATAAAACTGTATAAGAGTTATTTGTAATGAACATATTTTGAATTATTTCTGTTGTTTTAATACTGGGATTTTATTGCCTTTATTTTTGTTGATTTTTCAGAAACAGAATCAGGATACAATGCTCTCTCCATGTTCTACCAGGGCTGACATCTCTGTAGAGGACAAACTTAGAGATGCCAGTTCTCTGACATCTAATCCGGAAAGAGATTCTTCAAAAGATGGCAAAAAAGGAAACATGTTACTTGAGGAGTTCATTCAGCATCTTTGTCAGAAGGGTAGGAAGGGACTGTATGAAGAATATGCTGAGATCAAAAGCAAACCTTTGGAAGGCACTTTTAATATTGCAAAGTAGGTTTTTTATGTACATAGTTATGTGATAAAAAAAATCTACAATAGTTGCATTAAAATATCATCAACTATGAGGTTTTAGTATGGTTTCTGTGAATGTTTTGATTTTATATATGAAACTTTTGGGGTATGGTTTAACTCTTAATATGGGGTCAGTCACCAGGGACCTACCACAGGACCATTTTTACTTGTATATAGTTTTAATACTATAACTTTTAATACAGTGCAAGTATCTTCAAAATTTGGCAGACGTTTAGTACACGTTACAAGTATTTTGTATACAATCAGTTTTTTTAATGAAGTAATTGTCCGGAGATATATCGAGCATTTGTTTTGAGTAGTCCATGTGAAAAGTGATTTTCATGTTAAATATAAAAATACTTTTCTTCATATCGGAAATCTCAGATTTGATTTGTGTATTCTTTAAAACCTCCTAAATACATTTCAAATGTTTGTTTTCACTAAAACTTTATATTTTATCTGTTATTTTCTCTACCCTAACTCTATACAACGTTGGTCAATTTAACCAACCTCATAAAGACCCAAAAAATAATTGAAATAAATCTAAATTACCCTTTTTTTCTTTCTAGAATGATTTCAAGTTGTAACATGAAATTACATTTGTTTATCCTAAGTAGGTTTAAGCTCATAACAGTATACATCTATTTATAATTAAATTTTATTGTTTTATTGCCCTTTGAACCTTGTCTAACTACTGTTTGTGCCATTATAAGTTGTAAATCACTTGGGGAACGTGGAGGTCACTTTACACTATTGAATTAGGTTACCCACGAGCCTGCTCGCGTGCATGCTTCATGAAAAATTTTAATTATATTATTATTATTTATTTTACATAATCTCACCTTAACTAACCTAAAGAGATCCCTACTTTTATGTTTGAGGTACTTTTATAATAATAAATAAAGAATAAACACGAATTAAATCACTTACCTGAATCTTTGATTGGAGATGACACTTAATCCTACTTTTGTTTATACTAATGGTAGTAATGCACTAAATAATTTTTATTTAATTAAATAATACACCAAAGAATATAGAATAATAACATGCAAAAAGTAGACAATTTCCCCTAGCTCTTACAATTTTTCTGGCTTTCTAACTATGCGAAAAGAGCCGTTACAAATTCAGCCAAGCTAGTCGTCATCTTTCCCGTGGAAATGAAGCGTGTACTGACAGTGAAATTGACAGTTCTCCATTCAGAAAACAATGTAATACAATATGTCATTTGACAGATGAAATTCTTGGCTTTCTATTGGTTTTAGATAATATAGAATTAAATGTAAGAGAGAATTATTAACAAATTATGAAAGAGAAGATGTGACAGGTGGATGTGGCAAGAGGGGTCTGATTTTCTCTTTGATAACACTGTAACCAAAAAAAAATTGAAGTCTATAAAGATTATGGTTTGTCTGAGCTATGGTGATTTTATAGGGAATTGCATATTTATTGGAGGGGTGGTGGATAAGGTAGAGAAGTCACATTTTGTCTATGCATTATTTCACACAAGGGGACTTAAAAGTTATATACTATTAATATATGGATTATTTGCAAATATTTTATGCTATACTAATTGGAATAACATAAATTAAAAGTAGATTAATAATATTTTTATTCTTTTCACAGTAGAAACATAGTCAAATTATATGACATTTCAGTGCAAACTTAGTAAACACCATCTAGTTTCAACTTTATTTGATTTAGTTTTTCTATAATCTGTAAAATTTCAAAACTTTTATAGCAAGACACAGTTTTAAAAAACATTAAAATATCTTGCTTTATTTTAGAATTTCAGTGTTTTAATGTTTGTCAGAAAATTCCATTTTGATATTTATTACTTTTGATATTTTACAGGCTAGATAACAATATTCTTGGTCAAAATCATTTTATGCTTAATGAATATATTTCTTTTCAACAGATAAGTTTTTATTTTTGTAAATCATTTGAATATGATAAAATTAACAATACTTTTCATTAAATAAAGATATTGAGCTACAATTGAGTCACAAGATTATTTTGCCATCACTTTGTGTACTTTTTTAAACCTAAAAAGACTTACCTAATGTTGTGTCACAGAAGAACATTGCTGAAGCTTTCAAACAAATATAATTTAACTGAAAACAATTTTAAGAAACTACAAATTCCAAGATTTAGTTTGTTCTTAAGTCTTCTAAACAGTGGCACAGCGGTATGTCTAATGCTATAATCCGGGTTTTGATACCCATAGTGGGCAGAGCATTGTGTAGCTTTGTGCTTAATTATAAACAAACAATCAAACTTCCTACTACGTTCAGTTGTTCTAACCTTTTTGAGCAAATTATAATTACATTGCCACAAAACCATAAATTATTTCTCACCACTTTTTTTATTCTACATTGATGTAAATAGTCAACAAATTCTCTAGCCAATGAAATTTAAACTTTAACTTTAACCCTGTGTTAGTAAGATTTCTGTATGGAACAACTTTTGTACCCTGTGGTTGTGTCACACTCCACACCAACAAAACGTTAAGTTTTATTAGATTGTTAATCTATCTATGTGTGCATTTGAGGTAAACATCTTATGAATTATACCATAGAATATTGTTGTTTTTTTTATGTTTTGATAGTTTTAATAAAGGAATAATGGAAAATGTCAGATGTTGATGCTTGATATCGCTTTATTTACAAAAAAATATGATTAAAAAAGTTAAGTTTTTTTTATCTAAACATCTTCCTAGGAATTATTTTGAACTAAAAACATCATTTGTTGGGTAACATCAATGAAAATGCCTTACATTTAATCTAACCTAACTGCTTACTCCGAATCTTCTGTATGTGATACCATCATTTGATACTGAAAGCACTGAATATAAACTTCACTGTGATCTGACTGTCTTCAAGCTGATCATATTCACCCTCACTGTCGTCCTCAAGTTAAATATTACTGGGACAGACATCCAACATCTGCCTAATTCTCTCACCTTCACTGTCTGCCATCCGTCTTCATTGTAATAAAAAATAAGAAATTGTGAAATTGCTATAATGAAAACCTAATACCCTGCAAAAATCTTTGCTGAAGCAAATATTGTTTCGTATAAGCTTTAAAAACTCTTATTGTATCATAAATTCCAAATAATAGAGAGATAGCTAATCTGGGAAAACATATCTTGGTTTAGTACTGTGGGGTATTTTTGATCCCTGAGCCACAAGAAACCATGTGTTGCTCTCAGTTCAGCTGGGGTAGAAATGGGAGAAACTAAGTGTGTATTCTATTGGCAGTTTCTACCAGGAACAGAAAAGGCCTCAGTGCTGCCACAAGTTTGTGAGATTGTGTACAAAATTTTTGGGTTAGAAAAAAATCCAGGATACGAACGTAAGGTTAAAGGCAGAATTACATTAGATGTTGTTCTGAAAACATACTGAGAAATAGTGGGAAAATCACATGAGAAACAAAATGTTCAGAACTGCATTCTCTGGAAATGGTAGTTTATTAGTAAATATAAACATATATTATTTTGATGGGCAGAATTTTTTTTAATTTATATGTACATTGTTTACAAACAAGGCTCCTCAGAACTATGCAGAAATCTAAATTTGAACATTTATTTTGCCCAATACAGTAATTAACATGAAAAGTTACAAACTGAAATACAGTGTCTATTTAATTGTGTTAACATCTGTTAACAGAACAGGGAAATTTGATTTTGTAAGATAAAAGTATAAAGTAAATAAAACACTTGTTGAAATAACATCTTAAATGCTACAAGACATACAGTATAAAGAAATAAATAGTACTCTAGTTATTGACATGTATTATGAATGTTCAAAATCATCCACATCTATAGAGCTGAGTAACTTAACAAGATCACTAGCCATGATCTTAAGTCATTATGAAGTCAACTTTGTGTCTTTATAGGCATATTCAGTATTTTATAATCATTTTCAGTAGCGAAAGAGTTAAAGCATTTCATTAAACATTATTTCCAGACAGTTCTTCCTCAACATAATAGAAACAAAAGGAAGACTTGTTTTAATATAATTTTAGGCTTAAGACATGTTATATGTAGAGCTAGAATTGTATGCTTGTGTTACATAAGATCAGTAAATGGTAATTTAATCCTAATATTCTCTTCATCCAAAAATACTAATACTGTGCATTCTACTTAAACTTTGAGAGTTATTTGGGTCAAGGACATTTTTTTAAATTACTACCAATAAGAAATGTTTCTACTAATAGAACTTTGATTATTTTAAGAAATATGTCTGTTAAAATATACGAGTTCTTGTCATTATTTTTTATTTTAGATTGAAACCTAATCAACCAAAAAACCGCTACAGCGATGTATTAAGCTATGACCACTCCCGTGTAAAGCTTACATGTCCAGCTGACCAACCATCCCTTGACTATATTAATGCTAATTATGTTGATGGATTTCAGCAAGAAAAAGCTTTTATTTCAACTCAAGGTATCGTATAAAAATATCATTAGATTTTACCTTTTGATCTTTTATCTGTGACGGATTGCAACGTCTCAGTGAAGTCTGATGTTTTTTAAAGATTCCACATAATTTTTCAATAATAAAAAATGCAATATAAAGAATTATAAAAGAGTATTTAAGAGAAAAAGTAATTTTTTCACAATTCTTTATATATAATATAGCATTTTGTAGAAGATTTTTTGATTCACTTTTAAACTGTAGAGTTTCCTGTAATCCTCTGTTTAATTACTTTGAAGTTTTGAGAAAAGCAGTTTATACTGAAAATAAAGTACTTTTATTGAACTTGTTTCAAGGCCCGGCATGTCCAGGTGGCTAGGGCGCTCAACTCGCAATCTGAGAGTCGCAGGTTCGAATCCCCGTCACACCAAATATGCTCGTCCTTTCAGCCATGGGAGTGTTATAATGTGACGGTCAATCACATAAATTAGGGACAGTTGTGCAGATAGCCCTTGTGTAGCTTTGCACAAAATTCAAAACAAACTTGTTTCAATTTGAATATATATGTATATTCTTTTCTTTCAACTATTTAATTTGACATAACTGGATATTTTCATTGAATATTTAAAAAGAAAGCTATTTTTGAATATATTTTAGCATCTGCTTGTTAATTAAAATTTTATCGAAGAGATATTAGAATGAAATTTCTACTTCCAAAGTTCAATTTTTTTTTTTAGTAACATTCTTTTAATTAACAAAAAATCCACCTGGACCTGATAAGTGTAACACTACATTTTGATTTACTCAATCAGTCTTGTGTCAGAATTGAAATAAAATTACAAATAACATTTTTTATTCACATGCCTATAGCACAATAAATACAATCAAAAATTATCAGCTTTGTTAACTTCTAGATAATACTTAAGATATAACAGTGCAGTTATTTCTTACACAGAACTACAAGTGTTGATGCTTACTTCAAAGATATAACATGTAAAGAAGTTTTATTTAAAACTTTTAGACATTCCTATTTAAAAACAATAATATACCTTTTAGGAAGGTGCAAGTGGAGAAACATTTAATTGTTTAATGAAATCAACCCTTTTATACATGTAAAAAGCTATTAAATATCAATTGATCATGCAGTAAAACAGCTTTCTCGTTTAACGACTGAATGTTTTTGTGTATCTATGAAAAACAAATTTTCAGATCAAAGAAAAACGGAGAAAATCAGTATAGTTCTTGTTCCTCACAACAAGGATTACAGCATTAAGTTCTAAATATTTAAACAAACATTTTCTATCTACAGTTTATATAAAACCTCAACTTGATATGAACTTCAAACTCTGTGATATAAAATAAGGTTTGAGGTGTTTTATTGAAGTATATCTAAACCTTTATTGTATCAGTACAGCAGGTAGTACTATGTATACATAAAAGGCTAATAAGATGTATTTTAAACAAGTTTCTGTAACTTAATTTATGCTCGGTTAATTTTTTTCTTTTTCTTGAGGGGGGGTAATATATAATACAAAGGATTGAATATGTTACATTAAAAGCAATTTTGAATTTACAAATCAGCATGTCACATGGTATCTTCAGCTGATATAAAGTCACAGTGGAATGGAATGTATCAGAACTACTTTTTGTCATTGTTTGGCATTTTATAGGTTGTGTGATGCCACCAAAATTGATTGCTTTTGGAAAAGATATGTTACATTCATTTCTTACTCAAAATATTCATACACTCAGGTCATAAAGATGATGTTTAGATTGGGGATTTAGAGTTTCCAAGACAGGGATATCCCTTTTACTTAATGACATTGTAAAACACGGGAATATGGATCAACTTTGTGACCCATTGACCATCTGGAAAGATACATACAAAAAATCTTATCCCAACCAAGGTAAGCAGAGTGCAGCATCTTGTAATGGGTGAGAATCCATGAAAGTAGCAATAGTCATCCTCATGCCCCACGCAACATTACACAACATAATCAAGAAGGATCTCCATCTGGAAAAGCAGCACATTACTTCCATGACAAATCCATTCAATCTTTGTATTATCTCAAGCAGCTGGAGAATGAAATGGGTATTGATGCTATGCTAAACAAAGGCATAATAGTCAAGTAGCTGAATACAGTGTCTGTTGATTTCTGTGTAATCGAACTGTTGAAACTGGTAATGGGAAGGCATCATCTTCATATATTAGATGGATTATAGAAAGCAAACAAGGAACAGTGGCATGCTTTTGACAGGACCACCTTATGATAAAGCTATTTGCAGTATAAACTATTCTGTATTGCTATTTCAAAGAAGCATGGTCATTGGGGTGATGATGATGATGATGATGCTCCAAAGTTGTTTTAATGCATTATACTCAACCTTTGTACTTTTTCTTGGTCATTACTTCTCACTTCATTCACTGTGTCATTAAAGAAAGAAAACTGTTAGTTAACAGTTACATAAAAAAATAAGAGTCTAACTTTACTGCTGTTCTTTATAGCATTAAAATTACAGAGAATGGTTATATTTTTTGTTTACAAAAATTATTTTTTTTAAAGAAAAGAACAGATGGACTATTATTTTGGGCACAAAATTATGATTTTTATGTGATATCAAAAACACAAATACATATACACTTGTTAAAAAAAATAGGTTTGTTCTGAAATCTGAAACCTGCACAGATTTGCTCTATTTTTGAAATGAAAATATCTGGTAAAAATCTTAACAGTGTGGTAATTTTAGAATACAATAGAATACCATTTGGAAGCCTGTGTTACATTTTTTTAATTTTTGTTAAGATGTAAGTGCGCATTGTACAATTATAAAATCATAAGAAACCATGGCCCAAAATTAGAATTTTGATGACATTGATACTTGAACGTTGAGCAGAAATATTTTGGTTTTGTATTTAAATGGAGTAACATCTATAATATAAAAATTTACTTTGTAAGCTACATTTTATTTATATTATTGGTGGTGATACAATGATTACACATATTACAAGCATTTAAATCACTACTTTTTTTTTATAGTAGCTATGAACATGTTAGCAGAAACATTCAGTATGTATAAGAAAAGTTTAGACATTTAAAAGATTCTTTTTAAAATACTTTTAAACTCTTAATACTGGATGCACTTCATAGTTATTATTATATTTTGTAAAAGGTCCTCTGCCTAAAACGTTTTCTGATTTCTGGCAAATGGTTTGGGAACAGAAATCACTTGTGATTGTCATGACAACACGCACAATTGAACGTAGCAGGGGGAAGTGTGGTCAGTACTGGCCCAAACAGGAAGAAACCAGTGTTAACTATGGTGATTTCAACATCTTTAACAATGGAGTTGAACATTTCAAAGATTTCATTCTTACAAGTCTGGTACTTACGGACTTAAAGGTAATGTAACGTGTTCTCAATAATATGCGTATTCTGTACCTTGCTAATTATATTAGGAGAACCACAGAAACTTGCGAATTATACGAGAGCTAATTTCTCATTTGTTTACAGTACTAAGTATTTTAGAAAAGTTGCTTTACTTAACTGAGTCTTTTAGTGTTCTTAAAAAAAGTTTGATTATGATGGACTAATGTGCTTCGATTCTTTTTAATAAAGATACATGTACACATGTTTCCTTTTGTCATTTTCATAATATTACTTACAGTGAATAATACCTCACATGACTTGAAAACTATAATATTCCATGCTGTAGCAGACAAGTATTTGTGAAGAAGAATTTTTCCTACAAATCCTATGTTCTGATGAATATTTTAAAGTATAATATGCAGTGATAAAGTTGTAAATAGATTAGTAAAACACAGATATAGATTATTAGTTACTAGTAAAAAATAGTTTCAGCTTGTTTTTGCAGTCATATTGAACTTTGAATAATTCTGCTCACTACAGATGCTTGTTTAGAGTTATAAAAAAATAACTAGCCCAACACCTGAGACTAACAAAGTTTGTATTACATACGTACTAGCCTTGGACTAGTGTGGTTGTGTATGCATGAAAAGCGTGCATGTTCACAAAAACCAGCTTCACATGTAATCATTAAAATTTACCCAAACTTCTACCTCTTAGTAGTTATATTTTCTTTCAAATTGTTAAATATATACTTTCACAGAAATTTTTCCAAGTTGTATAGTCTGTTTATTGACAATAGATTAATCCATCATAAGTCTGATAGACACGTACATGTGCTTGACTAAAATACTGCCTTTTAAGTTAAAATTTCCAGTTATTTTGTCTCTTACCATCATTTACATTATTGTTTTTTGCTGGAATTAGTATAGCTCATTTTTAATACAAATTTTGAGTAACTTGAGACAAACAGGAGTGTTTGGGTGAAATGATTTTGACTGCTCACTTGGAACTATACGACCTTTTCACTAGTATAGCTCATTTTTAATATAAAATTTGAGTAACTTGAGACAAAACAGGGGTGTTTGGGTGAAATGATTTTGACTGCTCACTTGGAACTATACGACCTTTTCACTTGTATAGCTCATTTTTAATACAAAATTTGAGTAACTT